TGTTTTTGGTACCAGGGATTGAACTCGGGTCCTTGCACTTGCAAGGCAGGCCACCGAACCGCTGAGCTAAATCCCCGGCCCTGTCTATTTTTGTAAACAGATTCATTTTAAAACACTGGCTCATGTACTTGTGGGGCTGGCAGATCTGAATTCTGTAGTGTTGCCTGGAAGGCTAGAAACTCAGATAAGTGTCGATGCCTTGAATACAAAACCTGCAGGGGAAGCCAGCAAATGAGAGGGAGTTTCAGACAGAGTTTCTATACTTCAGTCTTGAGAATTGTTTCTTGTTTTGGAAAACTCATTTTATTTTTTTTATCTTATTGAGTTTATTGGTACTTTTTAAGTATACAGTACAGTTACATTCATCATTGGGATCTTGTACCTTTACATAACAGATCTTGGTTCTCATTTTTTCATTTTAAAATAGAAGCTTGGAGTCATCATTGTTTAAAGATTGTCTAGGAATGGAGAACTTGGCAAAGGCCTTTGATTGATTGGATGATGCCACAGTGTAAGAAGGAATTCGTTTTACTCAAAGTCTACTTATTATAAATGTTAATCTATGTAAATAATATCTTAATAGCATTATCTTCAGTGTTTGACTGCCCAGCCTAGCCAAGTTGACACAGGAATACCATCATGTAATGGAGTGGGTGCAGTGGGTCCAAGAGGGGGAAAGGGCATTATTCCTGCCATGTGCTTGCCATTCCTTATTATGGTTGAATTTAAACTCTCCTTTGGTGTAAGAAAATCTCATTTATTGGCAAAGTTTAAAACTATTATTATACAAATGATGTAACTTATACGTAAAAGATTTTTTGAAAGGCAGGAAGATAACCTTCTATCTCAGGAAAAGAGTCTCCAATAAATGTTTATTTTACTTTGTTTTTGCTTTATGTTCTCAAGAAAACATCTTAAGGGCCAGAGATTTAGCTCAGTGGTTCTGCCGCCTGCCTTGCAAGCACAAGGTCCCAAGAAAATATCTTATGTCCTTCCCATCTCATCCCTGTGTATTATACAATTCTGCCCATGTTTACATCCTTCATTCACTCTTCTATACTATGAGGAAGTCTCCAGTGGAAATGCTTTTTTATAATTTTGCTTAGAGAAATTAGCATCTGGTCTTTTCAAAAATTTACTGTCACTTAGAATTGCAAAATTAAAATTCCAAACTGTAAAAACTACTTAATAATCATTTGGTAGATGTCCTTCGGTGTGTTAATTTTGATATTATAAATGAGGCAACATATTATAATCTTCTGTTGATTTCAGTTATCTCCTTCGATGTGCTAGAAATTGTACAATTATATCAAAGAATGCTTACAGTTTTAAAGTAAGTCGAGGGAAGTCTCAGTTGAGGAGCGAGTTCAGCTGTATATGTTTCAGGGGTTTGAAGTAATACTTAATAATTTTTGTTGTAAAAACATCTTTAAGATAAGAGCACTAAAAAAGAATCTCAGAAAAAACAAATCCATGGAAGTAAAACATTTGTTACCAGAGGAGTGATACTTGGAGACTATTTGAGCAAATCCCAAATTCAACAAGTATTTTCATTAGAGTGTTGCTTTTGTTCCCAAGAAAATGTTTTATATTATTGAATATCATATGTGTCTGAATTTCTGTTTTCAGACACGTTTCCTGCTAGGAACATATGGAAAGGCTAAATGTCTGGAGTAAAGTTTGAATGATGTTATAAACTATGAGAGAGGATCTTGAAGTATTAAGGCAGTTGAAAGATTAAAACTATGTCCACAGTTAGATTCAGTCAGCCATTTTGCTTATGTTGTATTCTTTTTACAGGATATGAAACACGAAATGTGAAAAACAGATCTTATAAAATCTGGTTACTTTGTGTGTTTACATTTTGATGTTGGTATCAATTTACTCCCCTACAGATGCTTGTCATTATTTTGTTTTGAACACAGAGAAATCTCGTGTGTGTGAAACTGCCATGTTCTAGTGGGTAGACATTTATGAATCACGGACAGGTTTCCATGAAGAACTTTTACTCAGAAGTTCAGGGTTGATTTGTGAAGTCCCCAAGCGTGGGGCTTGTGTCTCCTGAGAAAACCGATGTGTTGTGACTCTTAGATGTTCGGGGTGAACTTTAGAGTCCTGGCCAAAGTCAGGTAGATGGGAACGATTGCTAAGTAAATCAGGTGAAAAACGTGCGTTTAGTATCAGGCTCATTGAACCTTCAGGAATCTACTTTGCTGTGGTTATAAAGACATAGCTTTTCTGTTCTTTCAGTATTTTCAATTGAGGTGTCTGCAGAGTGCAGTGTACCACCAACGCACAGCCCACATGCAACCAGCTCCTCTCAGAACCGTTGCTGAAGCACAGTGGATCAGCTACTATACTAAATGAGGGACTCAAAGGCCCACGCAGGTTGCATCCCTGCTCAGCCTGGGGAGACACTAATGTTGACTGCACATTTTATCACACACCAGACCATGGGACACATCTGGATCCAGCATGTCTCTGCCATCATTTATCTTAGAGGTTAAGCTTGTTATTTCTAGTTTACAAATACCACGGTTAATACATGTTATTTTGCCTAATACTGTATCACTCCAGACCAAGGATTGCATTTTGGCATTTGTTTCCAAATCCTGTTTTTGCTGTTGTTGCCTTTATTATATTCTCACTATTAAGCTCAGTTTTGTGCATTTTGACCTAACTTACTCATAGTTAGTAACTTGCTCCACTAGAAAAACCTTGTTATAATGGTTAGTTCTAGAAGACGTTTGATATTTCACCAGCTTTCAAATGCATCATCAGAGCATATGAATGTTGACATAGCATCAGCTCACAAAGCTGAAATCAGTAGGGCACGCTGGTAGTTGAGAAGTTCTCAATTGTTTAGGTGGTACGTGGTTGACATCAGTAGTCATTCAAAACACAGAGCAGATGGTCATTAGCACTTTTATGCACTCCTGGGTATTTATCAGTTAGGATTCGGTGGCATTTGTCTGTTCTCATTAGGTAATTACATTAAAATATTCCTTATCACAGGAAAGAAAAACCTAATTACTAGATCTTGATTAAACCTTGTGCTAGGAGCTGACCTCTTGACCAGTGACATACGACCATGGTAAATAAAATTCATGAAGGGATTGATAGCTATGGCCAGCACCCAGGAACTGATACAGGAAACGTGTTTATTCTTTGTTTTGCTCCTTCCCAGTCTCAGTGATTACAAATAATATTAGTGACATGGAAACGATGTGTATTGTTAACAACAAAAGCATCTCTTGGGTAAAAATATGTTTTGATTTTTCTAGAAATCAGAAAGCTCTTAAATATATACTCTGGAGAAAAAGTTTTGGTGGCCAACAAATTGGTAGCAACATGTTTTTTTTCTCCTAACTCTCCCTTATTGAAAGAGATCATAAGAGTGCACAGAAACAAATTTAACAGCATAATTCCTATTTCTACTTTTACTGAATCATATGTAACAAACTCAACACGTTTTGAGACTTTAGTCATTGACGCTTATTTTTCAGTAGTATATTGTCACCAGCAGGCTACATATTTCTTGCAAAATATTTAAAATATTTATTATTAGGCACTACACTGTGCCACGGCCATACTTACAATAATAACTCCAGGATTTCATGTGGTAGATATTTTTATTTTCTCTACTATTTTTCAAGGGTTTGAAGCTCTAAAGATAAAGAGAATTTTCAAGATTTTTAACAAGCAGATGTATAAAACTTTGTTCCTTCTTTACCAGTTAAAATGTGTAAGTTTGTTGAACAAAGTTTGCCAAACTATTTCACTTCCATACTTGTTTGTTTGTTATCGGTACACATTTGCATAAATTCAGACACAAGCTGATTATAGAAACTGTATCCCCACCTCTCCCCTGACCCCCAGTACAGGGAATTGACTCAGGACCTTGTACTTCCCAGGCAGGAGCCTGAACCATGAGCTAAATCCCCAGCCCAGCGCTACATGCTTAATCTGTTTTTCTTCTGTGTGAAAGTGTATAGCCCTCTTCTTGTGGTGAATTCCAGTTGAAAGTTTCTTTCTGGTTGGAGCTCTTCTGAGGTGCGTAGTTCACTGTCCTCCAGGGGCTAGGTTGCAGCGAGTGACAGAGCACTTGTCAAGCATGCATGACATCCTGGGTTTGAACCCCAGCAACACACACACACACACACACACACACACACACAAAAAAAAAAAAAAAAAAAAAAAAAAAAAAAAACCAAGGGCAGAGTCTTTTCCTGACCACCTTGTGAAAATTAGCCTCTCTCTTCCTGCTTTGGCAATTATTGCTATTACCATTATTATTATTTACTTGTGATTCATCCCACAGGAACAAAATGTTTACAAGTACAGAGATCCCATCTGTTGGTTACCATTATTTCCTCAATGATAATTATTCAATACCTGGTACAACATAGGTGCTTAAGAAATACCCAGAATTAGAGTAAAGGCATGACTCAGTCGGTGTATAAGTGAGTCAGTGACTAAGGAAGACATGATAGAATAATGCAATCGGTCCTAGCTCCCATTCAGGTCACCATGGCATCACAGAGTATGGAATGTGGAATTTTGCATCTGTGGGCAGCTGCAGGCTGAGTGACAACAAAGAGTAAGGACCAAGCTTTCTCAGGCATATGTGCTATTGCTAACTTAGCTACTTCTGTCTGTTATGCCTGTGCATTATGCAAGGGCTTGCGTCACTGGATCCACTTTTCATGTTATGTGTTCAGTCCTGTCCACAGCGCTGTAGAGATCACAATAGAACTCATGGACCAGGTAGTATCTGAGTAGGAGAGAAGTAGACAGTGAAGAGGAGAAGAGCAAAATTTTGAGCAGGTGGGCAGGTAATTCAAGCGTAAATTACATTATCAGCATTTGGCAGATTTAGACTTACATTGAAATAATAGTCTTCTTTATCTTGTTGCCATTTTGAGTTTGGGCCCTCAGAGAATATGCCGCATAGACTCATGATCTTGCTGTGAATATCTCTGCCCAGAGCTGTTCCAGTATCTCTGCCCACAGTGTTGAGTGGTGACACTTGAGTTCCCAGTTTATTTGGCAGAGGAAAGAGACAGGTCAATGATGTCATGCAAGTTTCATAATGTGTGCCAGTCAGCTGGCAGCCCCATTGACCGTGCAGTACAAGTCAGTGTGATCAGAAAGGAGTTTAGCGAGACCACCAATCCAGATGAAACGTATAGCCACAGCCACGGCAGACAGTCACATGAGGAAAAGTCTAATATTTCTCTTCCCTCTTCCTCTCAGATACCATAAGGTCTCAGCACAGGAGAAAAAAATCTGAGGCAGATCATTTCTGATGAGAGGTAACTGAGCAGGGGAGAGTTCTGAAAGCCAGATAAGGGTGGCTCTGTCCTTTTCATGGTATAAGAGCCAGCCAGGCTTTAAGTGTCATTCTGATACTTGATATTCATTAATACATTTTTAAAAAATCAAGTAATATAAAGGCCAGAGAATTGCATAGGTTGTGTGTAGATTGCACCCAGTTTCCCGGCCAGTCCACTTTTTTTGGAAGCAACAGATCAACAGGCATTTTCTACATCCTGTGTTAATCTACTTGTAATTTTCTGCATCTGTTAGTTTGAAGCACGGCAGTTAATGAGATTAAGGCTAAGGGATGTGTAATATTTCATCCTACTGTTAAAAACAATTATGTGAAAAATTTGAAACTTCCAAGATATTGAAACAAACAATGTTTCTCAAGTGTATAGAAAGGATAAAAAGGGAGTAAAGTATGAGAGAGAAAAGAGGCAGGTAAAACTACAAAAATCACAAAGAAGACCTGCTGATTTAAAATTTGTTTTCAATGACATGTTAGGTGTCATGCTCTGGCATTCACTAACCTATGAGATTCAGACTGATCATCTGGTATCTTTTTTTTTTCCTCCTCATTGAGTTTATTGGTACGATCTAGGTATATAATACAGTTACATTCATTATTGGGATCCTGTACCTTTACATGACAGGTCTTGGTTCTCATTTTTTCCCCTTGTCCCTGCCCCCCCTTCACCCCCTCCTCTCCTCCCCACTTACAAACACTTCATTTCCATTTTTTTCATTTTCTCCTATTTTTTTTCCTTTCCCTTATTACCTTTCCCCTACCCTTCCCACTTTCCCTACACCTTTAGCCCTTTTCTTCCTATTTCACATTGTCAATTATCTCATTAGGGTCTTATGTACTGTTATAGTATTATTTTTATATCTTTCAAAATGTTGTTAGCAAATGTCTTATTTTTAAGTGAGCAAATTCATTCCTGGAAATTTAACTTAGAGCAGCGGACCTGTGGGATATATTTGTATAGCCAGGCTTTCTCAGTAATTTTAAATGCTGGGAAATAATCTACTAATAATTATGGACTTCTCAGCAACTGTGTAAGGGTTTGTTGACCCTACCCAGAGTGAATTGCTTGTTTCCTTTGTTTCCCTTGACCTGTATTCTCCAGGACCTTTCTAGCTTGTTGTTCTTTTCTGGTTCTTTGCTGGCTTCACCGTACAGTATTTGCCTGAAGGCCTCTCATTTTTCACCTTGTGCTCCCTGCTTGAGCCACCTCATCCATATCGTGGTGTCTAACATGGTGATCTCGTGTGACACCTCTATACACTTGAACTTCCATCTCTGAGTTTTAGACCTAGTTTTCAGTTGTCTGCAAGACATCATGTTTTAGAAGTCTCAAGGGCACTTTAAACTTCATACATCCAGAATTATACTCTCTCTCACCCCCGGTGTGTTTTTAATCCCAGTATTCTTGCCTCTATTACTGAATAGCTCCAGCACTATCAAGCTGGAGGTCCCAGAAATCTAGGAATTATCATGAAATCTCCTTCTGCCTTACCCTTTTATATCTAATTAGTCACAAAATCCCCTCCTCTTTTTTTCTCCCTCCTCTTTATTTTCAAAGCTATCCCCATGATTCCATGGATTATTGCAGTAGTCTCCTAGACCTCTAGCCACTGGCATTCGATGTAATCCCACTCTACATTTTTCCTTCTACTACATGCAGAAAGAGCTAATGCAAATCTAATGTTACGTGAAACCCTTTGTGGCATCTTATTTTGCATAGGGTTCAGGCTTCAGAATTGAAAGATTACTGCCAACACTTTGGATTTCAAAAATCTTGGAATCTAAAAGGTTTCACTTGATACATTGAAGAAGAAAATATTGCACTTAAGTATATTCTTGATTTTAAAGATTTTATATTGATGTAGTCAGTGTAAACAACATTACTAAATCTAGGGTAACCTTAGGACATTCCATTTCTGCTTGAACTTTCTGAAGAAAATCATAGAAACAAATCAAAATCAATTTCCAATTGATGTTTATATTTGACGTTACAATAAGCCTCTAAGTCATTTTTTTTTCATTTTTAAAGAAAAGAATCAGGAAGCACAACTATATTTAGTTGGGGAGGATATTTGATTTTTCCATTTCTACTTGTTGTTTATGAATGATTTTGTCTCAAACGAAAAATGAGATGAAAATTGAAGAATTTATTCATTTTGTAACAGAAAATAAAACCCTTTGACTTTTTTTTTTATTTCCAGCACACTCCACACTTCCTTTGGAATGTGTTTTGTGCAGGTTTTATTGAATGCGGCTGGGTAGGGTCTGCACTCACCCATTTAACACTGTGGTGACAGGTAAGAGAGATACTTGTTCTCATCAGGTGAAGCCCTGCACAGGTCCATGAGGCACAGCACCAGTTGTTAGACGAGGTTTTCTGCCAGTTTTGTTCTCTGGCCTTTCAGTCACGAGAGGAGCACTCACCCATTAGAATTTAGTGGCTTTATTCCAGTCATTTTTATTACTCAAGAAAAAGAATATCTCGCTGTTACTGTTGATGTGTCCCTTTGTATGGAAAAGGGCATCCTTGTGAATATTTTGATCATTCATTTACTTCTAGCAGCATCAGCTCTTTGACATTTCCTGATCCAGGTTTAAAGACTCAATTTTGTACTATTTTGAACTTGGAAAATTTTTCTCCTCTCTCAGAAACATGGCTACTTTAGACACAATTCTCTGATTAATGCTTTCTGTGACAGTCAAGCTGGACTGTCAGCTTGATTGGCTTGGGGCCTGCACAGGGAACTGGAAGGGCACACTTGTGGGTGTGTCTGTGTGGTCTGTGGATGTGTGGCCTTGGTTCCTTACTCTCTGGTGTTGTTCTCAGGTTCACCATGAAGTGAGAAGCTCAATTCTGTGCCCTTCTACCATTGCATATCTGCCTCAGAGCTAGCCAACCATGGAATGAATACTCTGAAACCATGAGCGAAATTAAACCTCCCTCCTTTTCTTGTGGGTGTTTGGTATTGTGTCCTAGCAACAAGAAACCAACTAACACAGTTCCTCAAATATAGAGAAAAGCTATATAAAAGATTTCTAGACTGTTTGACAAGAGACTCTTAAGGGGAAAATAACTTGAACCATGCCTGTAACTCCGGTTCTGACACATTAAACACATCTGGTAGGTGGAAGCTAAACTTCATGGAATGATGTAGCACTATTGAAAGTAATTACCATAAGCAAAAAAGGTAGGTTTGATGCAAAAAGCTGTGTGGAGTGAGATAACGAGCTTGAATTCAGAAGTAAAACCACTTTGGCACAGCTGGGAGACAATCTGTCCATGTTTATGAACTGACAATGATACTCTACTAACTTTTTAGAACTTTGGAATCTAAATATGCCATAGAGGGAGTCCCTCTTACTGCTGTGGGATGGAGGGAGCATTTCATTTTCACTCACTTTTAGGTAGCAGGAGATGGTATCTCTGTAGCACTGAGTCTGGAGATTTCAATGATAGTGACTCGGCTTGATTGACAATACTTAGCTTGACTTGGAGTAGTGTTTCTGCAAGATGACAGGGCCAGAAAGTTAAGATCCTCAGCTGAGGTAGAAATAAAATATGTGCGTCCCCAGTTCTGTCTCTATGATAGATGGTGATTTGACCCTTAGGATCCCTCTTAAGAACTACTAAGATCCATTGCTGGAGAATCTTGACTTAGCAATGACAGCAAGCTCTAATCAAGAAAATTTCATGGATGCACATTAGATACTTAGTGGACCCTCTCAAAACTTGGGGATGCACATGATAGTTTGAAAAAAATCTAGTGTACAACTCAACAGTTAGAAAATGAACAATCCAATGAAAAAAGTAGGACAAAAATCTGAACAGACATCTCACCGAAGAACATATAGTTGTAAAATAACCTTATGAAAAGATACTCTATATCATTTGATATTAAGAAATTGAAAATTAAATCAATGAGATTCCACTATTTGATCAAAATAAAGAATATCCTAAACTCTCAAATGTCAAATACAAGTGAGACTGTTGAATAACAGTATTCTTATTAAGCTCTGTGAAATGAATTGAAATGATTACACACAAGATACCTATATACTGATATTTGTAGAAGTTTTATTCATAATTTCCAAAACTTGGAAACAATCAAGGTGTCTTTCAGCAAGTAAATGGATAAATAAATGGTAGTACATCGGACTATAGAATATTATCTAATGTTGAAAAGAAATGATCATTCAAGCCATAAGGAGAAATGTTAAGTATATCTTGCTGAGAGAGGCCAATCCTAGACCCCCTCTTATGGACTACATTCTCTATGATTCTGATCATGTGCCATTCTAGAGAAGGCAAAACTATGGAGACAGTAAAAAGATTAGAGTTTGCCATGAAATTAGGGTAGAAGTTGGGATGAATAGATGGAGAATAGAATATTTTGTGGGCAATGACACTATTTCTATCTGAATGATAGATACACATCATATCACCTTTTTCTAACCTTATAGAATTTACAACACCAAGAGTGGGATTTAATGACATTTCAAGGTATGTTTTATCATTGAAATGAATGTATCACTGTGGTGGAGGATGTTATTAACCTTTGCAGAGGCTGTGCAAATATATCTCATGCATGTTGGTAAGGGACATGTGAGAACTCTGCACTTTATCACTATGGCTATGAACCTAAACTGTTCTAAAAAACATAACTTATTTTTTAAAAATGGACACAATTTCCAAAATCTGTGTGTGTGGGGGGGTGGGATTTGCGGTTTGCAAGACTTAAGTATTCATATTAATCACTGTATCTGTAATGATCATACACAGTCAAGGGAAGCCTGAATCTTCTGATTACATTGGCTCTACATTGGCTCCTACCTGAGACTGTCACCTTTAGAAGGCAGTGGTCTAATTAATCACTTCTTTGAACTACATAGACATACTGGTATAAAAATATTATTTTATCTTACTGTAAGAAAATACACTTTTGGGAAAAGTCCAATAGGAGTATAGTTGAAGGTTTCAAGGGAAATTCTCAAAAGTAGAAAAATCTCACTCCCTAAATCCTAATGTCCAAAGTTTACAGTGAATCCCAAAACTAAGCAAGCTGGACTCTCAAAGCTGAGAAGCTCTGATATAAACTTTGGAAAGTTCAGTTCCTGGGTCACTTGTTGAGATGGTCTCAGCATTTATGGTGATTTTATCTTCATGTTGTAGGGGAGACTTTCAAGGCCTAATTGCCTTGGTTCTGTGGAACTAAGATTGGGGCTGTATTCATTAGATTAATTCATGAAGTATTTGCTTTGCCTGAGTTTTCTCTGAACAGGAGTGACTTTGGAGAAGTAAGTGAACTACATTGTCATCTTTTGAACTGATCTTAATTCATTTTAAAAGTTTTGACATTTTAATTTTAATTTTATTAGTACATGAAGTTTACATTCAAGGAAGTAGGTGAATGTACATAGCACAGCTTAATTCTGTTTAACTCTCCTTCTCTTTCCCACCTACCTTTCTCCGTTTGTCTTTAAATTCCTTTGATCCATTTTCATTCTTACTGTTATATTTAAAAACATTGCTAGATTTCCCTTGCCTTAAGATGGCTGCTATATAAAATAGCAGCCTCCTCCTTCTCATAATGCTCTATGCGTTATGATGGCTTCCACATGGAATAGCAACCTCCTTCCTATAATGCTATGTTAAAGCATGGCTTCTCCCACCAAAGGACAGTCTTTTTCCCAGTGTGCCCTTCTTCCCGCCAAAAAAAGGTAACCTGATACTTGCTACCTCCTAGCGACTAGTGATGTCACAAGCCCCTCCAGTGACGTCACAGGCTCCTCCAGTTCCTTAATACTACTTCACACTGAGCTCCACCCCAGCTCAGGCTAACCCCACCCCACTCCTATAAAGAAGCTCCCTGTTATGCCATGTTGCTTTCTTTCCTTTGTTTGGAGACAGCCTGGCAGATCCTCCCCACAGTAAAGGCTTGTTATGGTCCTGGTCTGGTGCTGGTTTTTGGCTCTTTTTACCTAACAGACACATTAAATATAAAATATTTCTCATGTTTATGAGATATGCTTACATTCATTGTGGATATTTGGTACCTGTGAACAATGCATTTTAAACCTTTTACTCTGCCGGCTCCGCCATCTCCTCTTGCCCGTGGTCTCTTGAACCGCTTCCTATTTGAAAAAGATCTGCTTCCTTGTTCACTTATATCCATCCTTTACTTGGCTCTTTGTACTTTGCCTTAGTCAAAGGAGAGATGCTGATCTTAATTCTTACCTCTGATTTGCAAATAGTGCTTCCTTTGTTCTTCATGCAAGGTTGACATTGGGCAGGCTTTGGAAAAAGGTTCATGAAATAGTTAAAATGGGAAATCAGGAAGTGCAAAAATTTTTCTCCGAAATTGACGAGGATTTCTGAGGAAGGATACAGCAAATGACTAGCAAATATTGCAGCCAAAAGATGAGATTTAGACTATAAGAAGTAAAGGGAAGAAGATTAATGAATGTGGGCAAACTTGATTTGGAAGTTGTGATTTGCAACTCTGAGTGAATTTGTAAATACTTTTTCCACATACGTTATATATTGCTAAACAATTCCATTCACTTCAATTTTAAGAGCTATTTGAATATTTACCAGTAAGTGGTTTTCAAATACATTACGATGTGTTTATCAATTATCTGTTTTAAAATGAACATCCACTTTCCTCTTGAAATTTGGAAATTGCACTTCAGTCTGTTAAATATGTGTATTTCCAATGTAGGACACATTAAACTTATTTGGGAACTGCTTTGTGGACAGCAGGAAGCAACAATGTCATAATAAAACCCAATTCTGTACAAAAGGCACTAATTAATATAGTTTTTTCCCCTTAGCTACTGAATGATTCATCAACTATTTATTGAGCTTCAGAAAGAGGTTTATAAAAATGGAAAATAACAAAGCCCCCTGGGGGTTAGTAATTACCTACTGACACTCATGAACCCACTACCTTACATAATGCAAATTATTCCTACACAGTATATCTCCCCATGATCTGTGATCTGTGTGAATCCATACACTTGCAAACACCATTATCTTTTCTAAGCAATGCTCTGTTTTTATTCCACTATTATTTTTAAAAATAGAGCTGAAAGCAGGAAACCCCAATTCTGAATCTGTTTTTCCACAAAAACATTTATAAGCTTCTTTCAGTGGATGGTGTTTGTTTTTAATTATTACTGAATCTTTATTTCCTGTAGAAAATATCAAATAAATATTTCTTCAGGTTAAATTATTTTAATCCCCTATGTTTTGATTAAGTCTTTGGAAAAACACACAAGCTTATCAATATAATTTTGGTAGAAAATATATTTAATTTCATCACAGAGTCATGTAACATTTTCTTCCTAGAATATTTCTCCTACGTTATGCTTATCCTTTGGAAATCCATTCTCATGTACACATTTAATACTTCGTTTTACTCTTATCCTGAAGGTATTCTATTCTTTTTTTCTATATGTAAAGCATTGTGAGAAAGTTTCACCTTAGTATAATTCTTATCTGTTGTTCATTGAATAAGTATAAAAAAACCCCAGCACTTTGGAACTCAAAAATTTTTTCTAACATTTTAAGTGAACTTTCTATCACTTGACCAGAAAACACCTAGATATGTTGCTTCCAACTAGAATAACGTAATTTGTATAGGCACGTTAATCAACAATAATCAAAATAATCTATTTAGTCAGAAAAGCAAGTGAGCTGAATTTTGTGCCTACTTTCAAGTTTTCCCCAAGTCAGGTTTCTAAAAACAGTTTAAGACAATATCACTTTGTATATTTCAAGTCATTACATATCCAAATCACCTGAGGTTTTTTTGTTAAAAATGCAGATCCTGGACCAGCCCTTCACTGAATTACCTTTCTTTAGGTTTTGCAATGGTTCCTGTCCTGTGAAACATAATTATCACCTCACTCCTCAGCAGCACTTGCCACACTTGGTCAATAGGATTCTTTTTTAAAAATTCATTTAGTTTTAAATTGACATAAGTTGTACATATTTATGAGGTACCATATTATAGTTTGTATTTTAAACTTTTTTTAGTACATGTTTTCAGGACATAATGATTACATTCACCATAGGGGATTGGTACCTGTACATAACACATTTCAATTCCCCTCTTTTCCCTCCTCCTTCCATTCCCTTTTTATTTTTCTAGCATCAGATTCATTTACTTAACTTATACGACCTTATAAAGTTACTTATCATGTATATAGACTAATAGGCCAGAGAACATATAAAGCATATAAGACAGTTATGCTAAGTTGTTCTTCTAGATACATTGTGAGCATTAGATTATACCTATTTCTCATTTTCTTTTTTCTATTATCTGCCTTATATATATATATGAAACCATGTGATAGTTAAGCTTGTGTGTCTGAGTTACTTCATTTAACATTATGGTTTTAAGGTGTACCCATTTTCCTACAAATGACTCCAGTTTAGGCTTTTTATGGAAGAGTAATACTCCATTGTGTATAAATACTACATGTTTTTTATCCATTTATCTTTTGATGGACATAAAGGCTGTTTCTAAGATTAACCACAGAGGACCCTTCACTTAAGAACTCAGTTCATTCAAGAGGTCTGGTTGTAACTCAAGTTGGTCAACTGAAGGCTCTGGCTCCACTATCTAGCTTTCAAAGACTCTCTCCTGTATACAGGCAGATCTCAGTGTCCTTAGAGAGACATTGGCCCAGAATTTTTCAATTAACCCCACACAGGAAAGGAAGATGTGATGTTCCTTCCAGAACTCTTTAAGGGTTAAATCTGTGTTGGAGGAGACCATCTGGAAGCACAAACAGCTGGCATTTGGGTCAGCATATGTGGATTTTTTTTTTCCATTGATATCTGTTTCATTGCACTATTATCTGATAGTATTAATGGAATAATTTTTATTCTTTTGCAATTACTTAAACAGGCTTTATTGGCTAGGATGTGGTATATGCTGGAGAAAGTCTGTTGTGCTGTGAGAAGAATGTGTATTCTGTTGTTGTTGAAACTAAGTAACTATTAATTTATTTTTTCCATGAGTAACAGCTATGAGTTTGCCTTGAGTTTCAGAATACACTTGGACTTGAACTTTTGAAAAAAAGCTAAAACTGTTGAGACGTTGGAGAAGTGAGTATGACATTCCTAGTTGTTTGCAGGATAGCTGTGTTGTGTCAGACAGAATTATGAATAATTCATTGCCTTTATTTGAAATCAACTATAGTTTAGGAAATTGTGCATGTGTTAAGTTGACAAGTGGTTCATTGTGTGACTATTAATTCTGGTATGTTGAAATTATTCAGTTATGAAATGCTTATCATCTGTAGGTAGGTATTAAGTCCATTTGTTTGAAGGTTTGGTTCAACTCTGACATTTCTTTGTTGATTTTTTTTGTCTAGTGATCTGTCCATTTGTGAGAGTGGGGTATTGAGGTTCATCCTTGCTGTTTTATGGGTGTTTAACTGATTTTTCATGTCCATTAGTGTTTATTTTATGAAGTTCGGTGCACTGATATTTGGTGCATGTATGTTTATAATTATTAACTTTTCCTATTGAGTTGTTTCCTTAGCTAATATGTCCCTTATGATCAGTCTTAGTTTGAAATTCACTTTGTCTGAAATTAGGGTAGCAATTCCTTCTTTTTTCTGGGTTACTCTTGCATGGAATATTGTTTTCCATCCTTTGATTTTTCATCTGTGAATATCTTTTTTAATTAGATGTTTTTCTTACATGCTGCACATTGTTGGGTTTTCTTTCTTAATCCATTCTGCCAATCTGTGTATTTTGATTAGGGAATTGAGACTATTCACATTCATGTTCATACTGAGAACTATTGATTTATTCTTGTCATTGCATTACTTTACTGTTGCTGATTTGCTCATTTCCCCCTTTTTCTTATCTGCTAATCCTGCCAGGTGTATTCATTCTTTCTTATTTATTAACATTGCTGGTTTCATTGTCTCTAAGACATCCTTGAGAATTTTTTGTAATGCTGTTTGTTAGTCATGAATTTATTGAGGTGCTCTTTGTTGTGGAAATACCTTATTCCTCCATTAATTTTAAAGAAACGATTTTGCCAAATATATAACTTGGGGTTGAAAATTGTTATCTTTTAGGACTTGAAACACTTCACTATAACCTCTCCTGGCCTTTAAAGTTTGTGTCTTCTGTGACTCTCATGGCTTTGCATATGATTTCTTCCTTTTCTCTAACAGCTTTTAGGATTTTGTCGCTGTAATCGACTTCTGGAATTTTGAGTATAATGTGGTGGGGAGAGCTGCTTTTTTGGTCATGTCTATTTGAGGTTTTATGTGCCTCACTTATCTGTATGTTTATATCTTTCCCTATATTTAGGAAATTTTCTTCCAATATTTCTATGAACAGTTTGTTTTAATGCCATTTGTGTTGGCTTCTGATTTTTCACTTATTCCAATTATTCTTAGATTGATCTTCTTTGCCTCATCTAGCAGGTTTTGGATCAATTTTTCATTTCCTCTTGCTGTTTTTAAGGTGTCTATGAGTGGCTGGTCTTTGAAGGAATACTATCTACTAGTTCTAAAATTCTTTTCTCATATTACTACTGCCTATACTTTCAATCTGATTTTTAATCTGCTGAATTTCTGATTAAAACTTTTTTATGCATGCTAATTCTTTGGTTAAACTGGTCATTCATGCTTTGTATCATTTTGTTTAGCCCAACTAGCTTTAGAGTGGTGTCTTCTGAGAGCTGCCTGCATCTTTTTG